ATCCTACAAATATTGTTTTCTCTGAATACACAGCATTCACTGAGCTAATTTCATCAGGTTTAGTTGTTAAGCACCCTTTCCTTAGATTTTGAGCACTTTCCTTGCTTGAAACGAAAAAAAAAATGCACAAAATGAGAAATGAATCTAGATCTTTATACATGAACATGTACTCTCATGTGCAGTCAAAATTCCAATAACCAGCATTTGTTCTTGTCATGATTTTTACCCATTTGCTTCTACTTTCTCTTGTTTTCTTCTAGTTCTTCTATCCCGTTTCCACCAATTTATTTAACTCATCTCCAGAAAACCTTTTGTTTGGTGTTGATTTGGAAAAAATGTAGCAACCTGACGCCACGTTTCTCTTCATATCATCTCAATGAAGGTCATTCATTGCAAAAATGATGATAAGACATGAATCTGGGACTGAGAAACATTTTCAATTTTCTTGACTTTCAATAGACCTTGCACGCAATCGCAGTATTAAGTGGCGTCAGGTTGCAACATTTTGTCTGTTTTCCTTTGTGTTCCTGCATGCCAAATCACACAGACTGATACACATATTATTCTGGTTTCTATTTGGCGTCCCACAAGTCAATTGCTTTCATTTCTACACCTCCGGCACATTTTAAGTACTCCTCCCTACGGTTCGGACCGTACCATTCTTGACTGACAAATAACAATTTGCTCAAAATCAGACTATTTTTAGACTGTCTGTCTTTGTCTTCTAAGCTTCCTCATGTTGCCATACTAGAGTGTAAAACTGTTGGATGGGCTGCATTGTCAAGTACAGGAATAATAAACAAGGAAATACGGAGAATGTGCCAGGGCGCCACTGTCTGAAATGTTTAGCTCAAAAAATAGCCACCTTCATTTGACTGATATCGCAGTCACATTTTACTTCGTATTTTATTCTACATGTAGGTCAAAATGAATTTGTCTGCTACTTTAACAAATTAACAAATGTTGATGATAAGTTTGTTACAATTACAGTGGGGCAGATAGGGGAAATATGTTGGGGATTGTGCCTTTGATGATACAAGTATGAAATTTGGCACACAGTCAGAGTATGTCATGAGAAAAATATCTGACTATAGGGCCATCGCAGATTTGTCCTTTGAAAAAAATATAGGTAGAATAACAAGCAGTTTTTAAAAGTTTCAAAATGGCTGCCAGCTTGTTAATCTACCTATATTTGTCAAAGGGCAAATCTGCGATGGCCTTATAGCCAAATACCTTTTCTTAAGACATACTCTGACTGTGTGCCAAATGCCATGCTTGTATCATCAAAGGCACAATCCTATATTCTGCCGTACTAAAAGAAGATTGTATCCATGAACAAAAATTCCCAATACATGTACATGGTGGCATGAAATGCTATGTTTTTCAGTGGCAGGGTGTGGGAAGAACTGCTCAGTCACGTACGAATGTAATGTACATCATTGTAAATTATTAACAACATATAGGATATAACATGTCTAACCCAATTGGACAAAACGTTTATTCTTCCAAATGAACCACAAAGGGAACCTAATTAGGTGTATTAAAATAATTCTTACAAATTGAACAAAGAAATTGACTGGAGCATGGTGTGAGCCTGTGACCTATGGATTGCCGTTCCAGTGCTCTACCCACTCACAAAACCACAAAGGACTGTGTTCAAAAAGCCTCTGAGAGGATTCGTACACCCACCCAGTTAACAAAAATATTAACTGAAAACCAGTTACATGTACATGTATAGTGTGCAATAAACAACACATGGCATTTTTGGTTGGTGACTGTTTCTTGCTTACAGTAAAACTTCTCTGTGCTTACCAAATTCGTCCATGCTTAGTAGCTCCACAAAATGCCCCAGTACCGATATGCAACCATAGTGACTTTCATCGGATACCAAAAAGAATAATGGTCCCCATGACGAGAATTTTTTATTCGATGTAGAATTTCCCCAAAATTTCCCTGGAGAGATTTGGCCGGGTTTGGTTTCATTGGTTTGGGATTTTTCCGGTGTTTTGAAGTGTAAACATTCTCCAATGAGGTTGGGGAGTTGGGATTGTGAACGATGGCGAGGAAAAAAAGACCAGAATTTGTCTGGTTCAATAGAACGACGGAAATATCCTGGATACTCCGGAATTATGTCTCAATGCTGATATGATGTACAGCATGCATGATCAGGTAAATGTAGATACGTATTAGTGAAATGATGTAGTGTTGTGCATGTTCGAATAATTTAGTATTCGATTACTGGATATTGGATCCAATAGACTATTCAAACATTGATACTAAGTTGAAATCATGAATATCCTTTACAGGGTGAGTAAAAAAAAAAGGAAACCCAAATGGCAGAACCAATTTTTCAATGAAGATCAGCATGTAGTAGGCCTACTATCAAAATCTAGGATACGAAAGCCCAATCAATAATCATCTTCTCGAGACAGCGGACACTTTTCCAAATATTCTACTGGTCTCAGCTAACGATAATTTTCAATTACGACAAGATCCTTGACACATGCGACACTTGTAAAATTTTAAAATCTGATTAATTGGGGCGGCCAGTGTTAGAAAACAAACAGTATGGAGTACCGAAGTGAATTTGTCACGTGCACAAAATGTGCCTGAAAGACGTTTGCGCGTGATTCAGCCCGTGAACCAACTCCATTTGTTTGCACTACACTTTCCGGTTCTAAATGACGTCTCACTTCGGTACTCTATATTATTGCTCTCCTTGAGTTTGACTTTATCTTTGGAAGTTTTATGCACCATGTTTGGAACAGAAGGCACATTCTGTCAACTGATAGTGCACCATGTTCGTTTCGTGCATGTATGTTGCAAACCCCCAAAACAGTCTTTTGCAAGTTCAAAAGTACTGGGGCAGTTTTACATTCGCCATCTTTCCACCCCTTCAGTTGTCTGTTCACTCAGCGCATCCCTCACACCCTGACAACAAGGCAACTCTTAACACCTCGACTCTGTCAGTGTGTCTTTAGCTGCTTCTCATCTGAGTGGTAATCTAAAGCCTCATTAATATGGTTCCGTAACAGTCTGTGGTTAGTGTACGGGTAACTCAAATGTCTTGCACGTATGCGACGCATACTGTAAGTGGGTCATTCTATGAACTTAGGATCCAACGTGTGACATGTATTCCTGCCTTTCTTTCCCTTACTTCTTGGCCATTCAAGTATCATCAATCCTAACTCCATAGAGGCATTTTTGCTAGGATGCAACCTCAATCCTGCAAAAGCCTTCAGCTACATGTACCTCCATGTAAAAAATGCATACTGAGTCAATCCTCCAAAATCCTCCGTTATTTCTTGAATGTGGTCCTCAACCCTGCAATATCCTGTGGCAATCCAGGTCAATACAATGAGACAGAGCCAGTGACATCCTGGAGCAGTGCGGAGGATTTCAAGTATAATTTTGACCTACAGATTTATGCACGGCTGAGCATAAACAACACAAGCCACAAGGTCTGTCCAAAGACCTTGACACAGCACATCCCACCGGTACCAATCAGCCACACGTTTTTGCCTTATAAACCTCGATCCTGCAAAATCCTCCATTTTGCAAAGAGGACTTTGGAAGATTTGGGAAGGTTAGGGTTAACAACCCCCAAAGCCCTTTTGGCTAAGGACCATCCTCAATCCTACAAAATCCTCCACCTGCCACCATTTAAAATGTACATGTAAACTGGATTCAGCCTCAATCCTCCAAAACCATCCATTATTTCTTGGATTTGTTCAGGGGAAGGATGGCCATTTCTTCAATCCTTCAAAATCATCAGATGTTGGAGCAGTGCCGATGATATCCACAAGCAGTGAGGATGATAAATGAACCTAGTATAATCTAGACATACCTTATGCACGGCTAAGTATAAACAACACAAGGTATAGCTTAAGACCTTGACATAATGCATCCTCCAAAATCAACTGTCACTAAAATTGCAACTTTAGAGATCTCTATCATTCCAAGCTCATGTTGACTAGCGCCCTCCATTGCGGACTTCAGATCAGGGCCTGAACAACCCAACTACAATGTACCGGTACATGCACCAAATGACAATGGCATCATTCACAATATTCTCCGCGATAACCGCTCTCCGATTTCCAACCCCGCTTTCGCCATCGGGGATCAAACGTCTTTAAGCTGTCTGATCTTGTTAGCCTGAAAAGTCTGTCACCCTTACGGTGCGATTTCAGCGAATCTGCCTCGAGTGAAAGCACTCCATAAGATAGCTGGATGGTAATTCCATTAAATGGTTGACGGCTTTTCCACAATTCTCATCTCGTAGTATGTTTAAATCCCTACCTGTTTTACACTTTAATTTTAAAGGTAAAGTAGACCATTGTGCATTTGTTTTTGTTTGAACCAACAAAAATGCTCAAAATCTAAAAATGACCTAGTAGTTTCCTACATTTCCGGTGAATCAGCCTAATTAGTGCAATCAGAAAACAAAACTTAGCAAAAAACCTGCTTTGAAATCCACCTCCCATGTCACACCCATAAAGTTGTAAGTTGTAACCATTAGTGTGGACGGACCATAGAGCTATATTAAATTACTAGAGCACTAACTTTGTGTACAAAGTACCGGTACATGTAATGCTATAAAATGCTATATAACCCTGCTATAAAATGCAACAAGTTTCAACAACGGATTCTGTTGTATTGTGCAGTGAACCCAGTGCTTGGCATTAAGCAGTTACCCAGCTAAATGCAACCAAATGCGACAGTACATGTAGATTCTGTTGTATTGCCCTAGGAGCAGTTACCCTAAAAATGCAACAAGATGCAATGAAGTACAGGGACTTGAGTTGCCTGCTAAATGCAACAGTATGCAACAACCTTTTACAACAATACCTTTGTTGCTTTCTGTTGCATTCAGCACGGTTTTAATTGAATTCTTTAGAACATGCGACAGCAACCGACTGTGCTACGGGTAAATGAACGTCATTTTTTTCCGAGCGCTTATTGTCTCGGGAGAAAACTAAGACAGAAAAATTTCATCCTACCTTGATTATCCGATCCCCTTTCTGGACCCCGGCTCTGAATGCGGCGCCATCTAGAGGCCAAATGGAGAGAGGCATTTAGCAAATAGTTCATGAATTCATACCCCATCTTGGGTGTAAATATATCAATGTCACATGGTTTGAGGGTAGTTGGTTGATATTTACTCCTCATGGTAACGGAAGCAGTTTCAAGGTGAACTGAGGACACCACTTAGGCTATCAACTTGCAACACTGAACGGAGTTAATATCAACTGTTCACCGTCCCACTCAAGAATGAACTATACCTCACGAATAATCAGTTTCCATTGTTACTAAATATCCTTAAAAAAACCCAAGAAATTTAACTTCTACATACAAAGGCTAAGATTTGAGAACTGTTTAACCCTAACCTCCCCAACTCCATCAAAATCCATCCTCCCATTTTGGTGGATTTCAGAAACTTGGTCTGCCTGGCCTGGTTTGACTTAATATTGATGGAGTGTGACTTGGGCCTGGAGGCCTGAAGCAGTGCTAGGGGCATCTGATTGATTTTGCCTAGCATCCTGTACTGCTCTTGTCATACAAAAATGTGCCTTATGTACTAATTCCATCAATATCCACTAGTACTTCAGTGGTGGATTCCATTATGTCATGCATTGGCAGCAGAGTGAGTGATGGAATTTGGCGGACTTGGTCCAGTACTATGAATAAGGGAATAAATGTGTGCTTCGGAGGTTTTTATCACTCTGTTTAAGACCACTTAGAGTCTGGGTGCTGATAATTACCCGAGCCGGAGGCGAGGGTTATTATCAGCACCCAGACTCTAAGCGGTCTTAAACAGAGTGATAAATACCGATCGAGCACAAATTGATTTCCATTCATAAATACCTTTTCGGTCAAAAATATCAAATAATTTGTTCAAAAAATCCCGATTTTGTTAAACAAGTTCACTTCATGCTTTTTGAAACATCCCTCTAGCAAATAATGGAGTGTTCAGCTGGCGAGTAAGATGTAAACAACCCTTTTATGGAGATTGACGCGCGCGTAGCATGTTCTGCGCGATGTCGCGCAGAACGCACCTGGGGCGTTGCGTTTTGAATTTAGAACTATAAAATTCTGACTCGCTGGTAGTGTTGCGCATGCCTACGGGAGGATTGTGAACGTTCAACCAGTGAAACGGTAAGAGGCACTGGATTTTTAGGAGTCCACATTTTATTGTGACACTTGAAAAGTGTTTAAGACCAGCTAACCATGTCTTTATCATCCGTTTAAGACCGGCCACGTGACGGGCTCTCGACCAATAGGAATAGCTAAACTGTCTGAGGTATTAATGAATAATGTTTCTTTGACAATTTGTATCACCCCTAAAACATCTTTAACAAAACGGCTGTAACAGTTTTCAGCCAGAACAAATTCAGTAGGACTATGGTCAATTAATTTATTAATTTATTTAGTTTTTTTTGCATGCATTTGCAGCAGTTAAAACGTAAATCAACAGTTCATTGTGTTTGCTGCAATGTTTACAAGGCTTTGCTGCATGGTGTATCGAGGCTGACCCACTTACAAATAAAAAATGAAGGGCGATGTTCTCAAAACTAAGGTGGGGCGGCACCATTTTTTCCTTCAATTTTTTTTTTGGAATATAAAAGATTCAGGTTCTGTATGATTTTCTAAGTTGGTTTGGAACAAGGAAACAACTTTTTTTTCCATGGCTTAATGGTTAAACCATAGTCATCATTTTATAATAATGGAAAATACAACATTTGCAAACATCAAAAAATATGAATTACCAAATCATTTTGAAATACCTTACTGGACTATTACTGTTAGTGAACATGGTGAATGACAGTCTAAAGCATCCTGTAAAATCATGGCACCTGGTATACTGTCATTTAAAAAAAAGAGGTATTTTTGTATCAATTTCCAATGCTGATCGGCCGATCAGCGTTAAAAAAAACTGGCTTTTTTTTCAAATACTGGCCCCATCGCACTTGTTTGCAATCGATTACACACCTATGAACGGGTACAAGCCAGCTAGACTAGTTCCCTGACCTTACAATTCCCCAATGTATGTAAACTGCTCTGTTTCTTCTTAAATGGAGTCAGGGAACCAGACTACAGGAAAATGATTGTTTTTCTTGGTTTTTATAGCATTTTCGAACCCCAAACCTCAAAAAAGTCAGTGTAACTATATTTGCTATATATTTCCAACCCCCAAATTCCATCCATTACTGAAAATTACAACAAAAGCAAATGATGTATATTCCCTTTAAACCCTGAACCTGAAGCTGTGATTTCAGAACTGGCTAATTAATGCTTACCATCTTTGACGCTTTGAATGAAGACGGGATTGTCTCCACTCACAGTCAGGCCGTAACCCCTCTCATCTTTCTGCACAATCACACATCGCTGAATCAGTTGGGGACCTGTCAATGGAGCACATGGCTAGTTAGCAATGATACGCAGTGCTCATTGATCTTTTATCCTTTGTGCCTAATTAAACTATCGTGGTAGAATCGCGTCAACACAGCTTTGAATAAAGACTCTCCTGAAGACGGTCAGAGCATACTGACAGGAACGTCGAGTTTATACATGTACCTCTGGTTCTTTTCATTATTATTTTATTATTATTATTATTAATCATTTTGGTAATGAAACCCAGGATTCCTCAAAAGCGCCCTAGGCACTGTAGCTCGCAAGCCTGAAGAAACCTGTGGAGAGAAGACAATGAGAAGAAATTACAGTTTTAGAGGTGGGAGGAAAAGCCCAGGAGAATATTCTGGGGGAAACCCACGGAATCAGGCAGGGACTGAAAACCCAATCCACATATTGGCCCAGGCGGGATTCAAACCCGGGTCACAGCGGTGGAAGGCGGGGAAAGTACCACTACGCCAACCTGACTCCCCTACGCCAACCTGACTTCAGAACCATTCTCTTAGTTGAGAAATTGTTTGCATGGTGTTTCAGCAAACCTTTCATTATTTCGTATCTCCACCATGCAAAGCCTCAAATCTTAATCAACACAGCTTGTCAAATATTGTCCACTTACATGGCATACAATGAACACAGGACGCACAAATCTGAGTCAAACAAAACTTAATGTACACAATTCCATAGGGGTTGTCTAAGGGGCGTGGCTAACTTGCAAACGGCGATGGTGAGGGGTAGTGTGGTAGTGAAGGGGGGGGGGAATTTCCAGGAACACTTCAACGATATTTCTAATCTGAACGTTGTTCCCACTCAGCCACAACTAAAACTCTCTACCAGAAGCTTGGAATATATACAATGTATTACATTGTAATACACTGTAATACTTGTAAAATATGTTATTACAATGGTGAATACAATGTAATACAATCCATTGTAACACCATCTGCTGCATCTTTACATTATAAATAGCCCATTTCCTGGATGTGGCCTCTTTATTTTGCCAAGCAGCAACAGAACATTTGACAGTCATTAAATATCAATGCCAAACACATTAGAAGATTGCTTTTTCTTTTCCTTTCAATAACAGAATATTGGCAGGACTTGTGCAATACCCACCAATTGTGCATACAGGCGATTGTTACCAAAAGACTTCTGTATTCAGTTTTAAAACAAAGTCACTGAATGTTGGAAAATCACAACATAATTTAACAGTTAAAATGTAGTGCAGATCAAACAGTAGCAGAATAAACAGAAAGGGCATCACACGCCATGTAAAGTAATAGTGGCTGGGCTCTACCTTCCCCAATCCTACAAAATCCTCCATTGTGCAGGATGGTACACTCTTTGTACCTACCAATCGACACCCATGTAAAGTTATGGTGTTTGGACTCTACCTTCCTCAATCCTACAAAACCTCTTGGTGGATTTTGAAGGATCTGAGAGGGTGAGGTGGAATAAGGGGTGGGGAGGGGATGGGGGAGGGGATGGGGGAAGGGGTGGGGGAAAGGGTGGGGGAAGGGGTTGAGGAAGGGAGGTTTAAGGGGTGGGAGAATGGGTGGTAGTGGGGATGTCAGAAGGGGTGGGGATGGTGGTGGATGGGGTGGAAGTGGGGGTGGAAGTGAGGGTGGGGATGGGTTGGAGGTGGGCATAGGGTTTGGGTGGGCACTGGGTTGGGGTAGGAGACGGAGGTACGGGTGGGGATGGTGGTGGATGTTAGTGGGGGGTGGAAGTGAGGGTGGGGATGGGTTGGAGGTGGGCATAGGGTTTGGGGTGGGCATGGAGTTGGGGTAGGAGACGGAGGTAAGGGAGGGGATGGTGGTGGATGATAGTGGGGGTGGGGGTGGGGATGGGGATCGGTTGGAGGTGGGCATGGGGTTGGAGATCGAGGTGGGCGTGGGGTTGGGGTAGGGGACGGAGGTAGCTAGGGAGGGGAAATAGCAGAGACTTACCGTACTGATCTTGGAAAGTTTCCATGGATCTGTAGATTGGTCCCCTAACCCTGGGGGAAACACGAGCAGATAACCTGCAAAGATAAAACCAATACACAAAAATTAGGAATTTTTGTTAGACAGCACAAAATTGAACCGGTGTGAAACCTTTGATTAAGCATTCAATCCCCCTTCGTATTTTTTCTTTGTTCTCTTTAAAAAGTAACTATGACCATATAAAAAAATAGGACTTTTTTTTTTCATCATTCGCATTTGGTATCACTCAGTTTCAAATCCAGGAAATTTGAAAATTTCTTAAAATTTATTTATGCTGGAGGAAACATCCATTAGTTGACTTGTGACTCATACTGTTCTGTGCATTTTGGAGACTGTTAATATTTTTTGAATAGTTGAAATTTTAAAAATAATTTCTGATATTCGGTGGAAGATCGACCATCGAGTATTCGGTTGATTCATCAGCACAACCCTAATCATGTTGAGTTAAATCACCACTGTACTTCTGAACTCTCATGTAATGCCCTCTATCATCACGTCCATACTGCAAAGTCATAATCATCTTGCCGTCAGCTTAAGATACAATTCTTTGTTACTCATCCTGCCGCCGGGATACCGTACCTGTACATTAAAATCCTGAAGCCATGCATAGCAGGCCTGTTTTAATAATCAACGCAAAAAAAAAAACCGACCGAGGTGTACTGCGCAGCCTGTCTGCCCTCTGCATTACGAGCGGACAGCGAAAGTTGACGATCAGAAACCGTGTCGGAGACGGGCGACTGTCTTAATGCAGTTGTCACACGTATCAAGGGCACGCATGAGCTGTAACTAGTAGAACACTGTTGGACTCTGTCTACATATTACATCAAATATAGATCCTCGTTTTGATGTGGGTTTCCTTAACCTGATGTATACAATATGACGCATAACTGATAGAGAATTGATAAAAAATGAAATCTGACCATGAAACATTGAAAAAAATCATACAAAAACAAAGAGCCTAGCTTACAAATGCATGTGCCTGTAGTCAATAAAACTACGGTACGTGAAACATCTGCACATCATTGTACGGCACAATGTACCGGTCTGATGCTGCAAAAATCCATGTTGAAGGCCAAGTAATATCAATTTTGAACAGGTACATTACATGTACCTTGTAGGGATGTGGCTGTGCAACATTAATATGTACGTTTTTTTTACATCACAAAAAATACAAGGCACACCCTGTAAAGCTGGTCCCAGTGTGCACAGAATTATTTTCATTTGATTCATAACGGCTATTCACTGAAAGTCTTCTCATGCATTTGGTCTACGTCTGGCTTGAGTTAGCCCATTCATTGGTGTTATTGGGTAATCCTATATGATAGCACTGCCCAGCTCACAAATGAAAGTCTGTCAGTCAGTGAGGTTCTAGGACTCTACTGGTAGGTTGGCTCTCTTGGACCGGCAATAACGCCTTTCACGGCAGTTGCCATGCAAATAGACTTTGTTCACGAGTCGGCCATAAATTGAAAGTGAGGTAAACTCTTCATATTTGGAAGTTGCCAGTAGAAATGAAAGCAAAGTAAATAGAAGTTCATTACAAATTAAACCAGTCTGATCTGATGAATAATTACATGTAAGCTTTTTTATGATTAAACAGCATGTACCGGTATACTGGTACATGTACCGGTACATGTATGTACCCTAATGTTTTAAGCCACAGTTAAACAAAAATTTAAAGTGAGGCTTGGAATGCACTCCAATCATAAAATAGTCTGGCTGCTGGCATCGTCTCATTCAACAGTTTCCAATTTATAAAATAGGGGGCCTACGTGTAGATTAAACACAATCCAAAATGGAGTCCTCAGTGAATAAGGCCTATTGAGGACACAGCCAGATTCCTACTGGCGTAGCATAAACTGCATTGCATTGTGGGCTTGTGCCATATTTCCACGGCTAACGCAATTAGCCTAATAGGTCTACTAGTACTCCGTAATTGAGTTACGTTGTGTAACTCTGGCAGCTAATGGATCTGACCTTTGTGCTAAATACAGTAGACTAGCTACCAGTACATGGACGGTAGTACTCCAATTCTCAGTAAGGTTTCTTATCGTTTTTAAAACAGTGAACAATGAAGTATCCTTAAAACATTAGATGAACATTGTGTACCGCACGTACCGGTACATGCGTGCTCTTTAGAGGGCCAATCTTCTGCATGATTTTGAACCCTAACCCCTTGAGAAGTTCAGTGATTTGTACATGCAATAGGAACCTTCCTCACTCTTGCAAAATCCAACACCCAAGCTGTTGGACTCTGATTACGGTGGTATGTCTGACCCCATGTAAAGTATTATCAGTTTACTAGTGAGGTACTCACTCCAACAGATTCCAACAAATGCAGTTGGATTTTGAAGACTTTGGGTGGTTAGGGTTAACTCTACCCCCCCCCCCCCCCCCGGCCTTTTAGCTAGGAACCATCCTAACTCCTGCAAATTCCTGCCAATTGCCACCATGTCAATATTGCCTCAATCCTTCAAAATCTTATCAGTTATTTCTTGAATGTGTTCAGTGGAGGGGTGACCATTGCCTCAATCCTTCCAAATCCTCCAACAATCACTGTTAATAGGTTGAGGCAGTGCGGATGATATCAAGCATAATGCAGGGCTCAATTATGCATGGCTGAACACAATGCTGGGTACAGCATACCAACTCAACACAATGCATCCTCCACATTTTTTTTATCATTCAGCCTCAATCCTGCATATTCCTCCAAAACGGCCCGGAGGAGTTTGGTGGATTGAGGGTGGTTAGAGTAAACCCTGGAACTATTGACATTGAATCTTTAGCTCTGTTCCCACCATGCAAAAAGGCCTGAGAAAAGTCTCAAGCTTGAGAAATTTTACATATATACCGGTACTTGAGCGTTCTGACAACCCTTGAGAGAGATTAACATTTCACTTGCTACTCGGCAGGCTTGAGAAATCTTCTCATGCTTGAGAAATTTCACATCAATGCAACCATGTGAGAGGACAACTTGGCATGCTACATTAGCTACATTAGCTGAATCATGTTGCGTGTTTTGTAAATTCACAGTGAACTGGGTTGCACAGATCAATTAGTGAGGGACGGTTAGCGGGAAACTCACCAGTCACCATGAAAAATGATAAACACACAGCTAGCTACATGTACGTGTAGGCAAATTGTATCTTCGTTGCGACACGTACTTGTTCATGTACACGTTTCTGGGCCGATTAACGCGGCCAATGAAAGTGTGCTAACCTACTTTAGCTGCTGTGTCAACAAACCCTAGATGTAGCTGCAAGCTGATATCTAATAACCAACAAGAGTAAAATATTAACTGAAATGAGCCGCCAAATCTTGCTAGGTTGCTGTGTGTTTGCAGTGGAGTATTTATAGCTGTTTCAATTGGTAAAAAGTACACCGAACTGTCAACTGTAATGCATATTTTATGTTGCTGATCTTTTTTGTATTTTCAAAAGTGTTAATTATTGGGGTTTTTTTAAAGATTTTATGCAAGTAACTTTTTTTTATGTGTAAATTTGTTAAGCACATGTGTCGGCCAGTATTGGTGCTCAAGGCGTTACATCATTATTACCCTGCTCATTGGGCCAATGAAACATTCCAAAGACAATCTCAGCTCCCTGGGGAGTACCGGAATCTGTTATTTCGGCACAAGCAGCTAAAATTAATCACAATAACCAACTCTGCCCTCACAGGTACCCCTTTACTCCTGGGTGGAGAGAAGCAATGAGTGACAAAGTGCCTTGCCCAAGGGCACACGCACCATGACCCCAGGCTGGACTCGAACCCACAACCTGCAGAATTACCAGCAGACCCGCAGATCACAAATTCAATGCTCCAGACTACGAGGCCATGACAGATGTGTAGCCAATGTAGTGGAGACTTGACACTACCAGTCCCTTCAAAATCCACCAGGTCGAAAAGATTTTGTAGGATTGAGGAAGTCGGATCCTATAGGGTGTATCACAATATACCTGTACATACCGGTACACGTATGCAAATCCAAAATCTTTGAGTTGGATCCGCGGGCTCAAATCCGCAGACCTTGGGTTCATACTAGCAAGAATCCAACATGGCTTCTACATGTACACTGTTTTGTGCGCATCTAGGGTGCAGTATGACCAACTACCAACAACGATCTGCGCAAACCAACAGGTACCGGTTCCTGTGTGTGAGAAAACACAACTGAGCACACACAGTGGCAATGGCGTGCAAGCGTCCTGCAATATTGACCCAATTTGTCTTTTACGTCGATTTATTTCTCTGAGAGCTACATGTACATTGTAAGCATTGTTGTAATGAAGTGTTGGAACTGCATTTGTAGCTTTGCTCAGAATACATGTCATACAATAAAAGTCCAAAGTCTAATGGTGTGTACAAGGCAGTCTTACTACACGATTGAAACTGATCCACATTGTACCAAACACCATGCAATGACTGCTCTTTCAATCATAAAACTAGCATACACCAACTGCAGATCACAATAATGTGGATTCATTGCCAAAGGCAATATGAGTGATGCACTGTATGGGTACCAGGGTATTAGTACATGTACAGGTACATTTGTACATGTATGCGCTGTGCAATTCTGTGTGGTGTGAGATTATGTGCCCTGCTGTGTACATGTGTTTGTCAGGCAGCAGTCAGCACTAAACAAACATGATTTACAAACACTGACTGCCATTGGATAGCCAAATTAAAATGACACTTTGGTGTAGGTGTACACACGTACATGTAGTCATAGTGCATCTAGCCTATAATGTACTTGGTAAGTTAAGTCAGTCACGCTTGCAATCAAATTTTAATTTTTCCTTCCAAAAATCTTTTGATAATTCGGCCCATGGCCAATTTACAATTTGTACTGTGGGCTACAACGTGTATGTAATAGAAAAGGCATTAGCTCATACCTGTACGTATGACGTTTTGGCTGCTGACCAACCGGTACATGTATTTTTGCTAAGCTTAAAATTGGCTCCTGTAGACGATTTTACGAAACGGTGCGAAAGTTACGCCATGCGTAGGACTTACATGTACTGGTATGTGTACGCCACCATTT